TCGGCCCGCCGCAGGGCCCTGGCGCCCTCGGCCCGCCGTGGGCCTCGCCGCCACGGCGCCGAGGCCCCCGGGCGCCCTGCGGGGGCCGCTGCAGGCCACGCCCGCGGCCGGGGGGGGCCTCCGAGGCCGGCCGGCCGCGCGCGCGGCCCGCTGCAGCGCCCGAGGGGCGCCCTGCTGCAGGGAGGCGCCGGGCGCGGGCCGGCGCTGGTGCCAGACGCCCTCGGGCAAGGAAGAAATCCTGGCGGGAGGCTTCTCCCAAGTTTCGGCCTCCGGGGGCCCTCACCGGGCCTCGGGACGGGCGACAAGAAACGGCTCAGGAGGAGGAGGAGCTGGTCCGGGGGGGGCCTCCGAGGCCGGCCGGCCGCGCGCGCGGCCCGCTGCAGCGCCCGAGGGGCGCCCTGCTGCAGGGAGGCGCCGGGCGCGGGCCGGCGCTGGTGCCAGACGCCCTCGGGCAAGGAAGAAATCCTGGCGGGAGGCTTCTCCCAAGTTTCGGCCTCCGGGGGCCCTCACCGGGCCTCGGGACGGGCGACAAGAAACGGCTCAGGAGGAGGAGGAGCTGGTCCTGGGGAAGGGGTCGAGACCTCTGGGGGACGACGTGAGGAGGAATTCAGGACGTCGGGGGCCTGGGACGGGCGAGGCGGGGACGCACCTCCATGCCCACCGCCCGGGGAGCCGCGAGGCCCTGGGACCCCGGCGGGCGGTGGACAGGGAGGCGTCTGGACCCCGGGGGGGGGGGGGCAGCTGGGCATCGCTCGGAGGTCCATTCCCTGTGTTTTTGTCGGTACTGTGCGTGTTTTTTCAAGGGGACGTAAGACTTGGGTACAGGGGACTCGGAAATCCCCGACGAGGTCGTCAACAAAAATGACGAGGCCGAGCCTGCATTTTGACGAGGCCTCCCGTCGCAAACATCCCACGAAACTCCTCCTTGTCAAAATCCGAGGCGCGGTCGTCAAAAAACGATGGTGAACCCGAGTCCTGGCAAACCCGGGTCTTACGCTCCCCCGATTTTTTCGCCAAGTGATCAAGGATGCTCCTCGATGGTCCTGGCCGAAGGAAAACTGCACACGTCCGAGCGATGGCAGGGCAGAGACACGTCTCTGCCCCCACCGCCCGCCGACGCCCCCGGAGAGCGCTCCCCCCGGCGATGCTTCTGGACGAGCTCCCGCCTACGGAGCCAGGGCCTCCGCGGCGGTCGGCCCTCTCCTGCTCTGGAGCGGGGGCCTCTGCCCAGAGCAGGGCTCTGGTCGGCCTCCTTGGCCCTCGGCGCGGGCGACGCCAGAAGAGCAGAAGTCGGCGCAAGCCCAGGGACTTTCGGCGCTCCGCGCGGACTTCTTGGCTCGGCGCTGGGCCCCAGCCGGCGGCGCGTCGCGCGCCGCCCCGCCGGGCGCGCCCCGCACGCCGGGGAGGAAAGGGGGGGGTCCGGCGCCGACGCGAGAAGTCCGCGCAGACCTCCGAACGAGTGCTGTGTCTGTGCCGATTTCTCGTCTTCTCAACGAGCACCCTTGACCGGCGAGGTCGCGGCGACCGGCGAGGTGGCGGTGCCGGCGATGTCGCCGCACCGGCACCGGCACAACTGCGGGGCGTGAGCCTGGGTGATGTCGGTGTTGGCCTTGAGCTCGTCGCGGTCGCCGATCTGGACCTCGGGTGCGGGGGGGCACAGGCAGGAGGGAAGCAGCTGGAGGGCGCGGAATGGACGGCCGTTGTCGGGTGGCCGCGGCCAGGGAGCCCAGGAGCCAACCGAGCAGGCTCTCGCCACGCCGCAGAACTACCCGCCACCGTGCCTTCCGCGCGCAGTGGGGTGCTCCAAGGCGCATAGAGCTGTGGACGGCAAGGAGGGCCGTCCGCCTCTCCACTGGGCCGCGCCAGAGCCGTGGGTCGCCCCCCTCCTCCTGGCAAATGTTCGGGCCTCGTCGCAAGCTCTGGGGCCCTGTCGATGGCCCACAACTGCCCCAAGACGGCTGCAGGATGGCCGACGACGGCCTCGAGAGGGCACAGGATGGGCCACAGAGGGGCCCCAATATGGACCCAATACAACTCCAAGAGAGCCCCAGACGCCCCAAGGAGGTTCCAAGAGGAGCCCGAAAGGCCAAATTCATGGATTTCCATCGTGTGTCGCTGTGTCGGTCTTCAGAACGATCAAGATGCTCCAAAAGGCCCCCAAGATGGCCCCACGATGATCCAAGACGGCCCCAGGACGCCTCAAGAGCTCACATGGAGGGGCTCAAGGAGCCAAAACGGCCCAAGAGGGTCTCCCGGGGAGCCGCTTGGTCCACGACCCGGCCGCGATGGCGGGATACACCGAGGGCCACTCGTCTGGCTGACCACACCTCGCTTGATGATCTTGCGCAGTTGTCCTGCAGCTCGGAGCCTTTCCTTCTTGCTCGCCGTTCGTCGCCCGTCGCCCCTCCGTGTCCAAGGCCAACGCGACCCCGTACTGCTGCTGGGCCCCCGCTCCTGGTCTCCGGGGCCCCTGGTCTCCCGGGCCCCTGGTCTGCCCTGCCCAACCCCCTGTTGTCCTCGCCGACGGGGCCCCGCTCCACCTCCGGCCCCCCCTGCCCACCCTGGGCGCCCCCGAGTCCCGGCCCCTCCCCGGTCCTGGCCCCAGCTGTGCCCTGGAGCCCCGTGCCCATGGCCCTGGCCTCGGGGCCCTTCCTTTTGGCCCGTCGTTCGTCGTCGCTCGAGCCCGTTGCCGTGGCCCACGCGACCCCGCCCCAGCCATCCCTGGGCCCTGGCCCCCCCCCTGGCCCACGCCCCAGCGACCCGCATTGTATTCCTCTGTTCTCCCAGGGGGCTCGTTCGTTCGCTCGTTCGTGGTTCGTCCCTCGCCTCCCTGACCTCCCCCCCCCTGGGCCGCGCAGCCCCTGCATTTTCGCGGCTCGTTCTTCGCGGTGCGTCCCTGCCCGCCCATGGCCTTCCCCCTCCCCCCTCGGGGCCGCGGCTCCCTCGCGCAGGAGCCAGGGCGCGCCCGTCACTTCCCCGCGAGTCCTCGAATTTCGAGTCGTCGCTCGTTCGCTCGCTCGCCCTCTCCTTGCCGTCGCTCGGACGTCCATTTCCCGTGCCTTTTTCGGTTTCGTGCGTTTTTTTGTTGCTCGATGGTCCAGGATGGTCCTCGATGGTTCTCGCCGAGAAAAAATGCACACGTCCGAACGATGGCCCCGCCCCCCAAATTCCTGCCCCAGCCCCTGGTGCCCTCCCCCCCCTGCTCCTGGACGCCAGGTTCAAGTGGGCCTGTCCTCCTACAGGGGGATTTTGGATGACAAGTTAAAACAGATACCACCAAAAATACTCCAAAATGGTAAAGAAATGCTCTACAAATGGTCCCCTGACTATTTTTTAACTATTTTTGAATATGCCCCGGCAGCATGGCTGACATCCCGTCCGAGGAGGCTGCCCTGCGAGCGCGGCCGAAATTCCGTAGACTGTAAGCGGTTTTCCTGTCCCCCCCCCGCGCAGGCATCGCCTGTGCACCTTGACGCGATCGCATGCACCGTAGGCACGCCACCGCGTTTGGACGCAGGGCTGGGAGGACGCAGAGGCCCAGAGAGGAGGGGCGGAGGAGCAGCAGCGCGAGACCCAGAGAGGGGGGAGCAGCAGCGCGAGGCAGGACAGGCCAGCACCGGGCCGGGAAACCGGGCCGGGCCGATGCGGGAGGTGCGCGACGGACCGGGCCGCGTCGGCACCACCGCCGACCGAAGCCCACCGAGCCGACCGGACGCAGCTGACTGCGACGCAGCCGGAGCGACCGAGGCCCTCCTCGCTGTGCAGGGCCAGTCAGTTGGCGCCGGGTAGCGAGCCCCCTCCTCCTCCTCCTCCTCCTCCTCCTCCTCCTCCTCCTCCTCCTCCATCACCCTCCTCTTCCTCCTCCTCTTTCTCCTCCTCCTCCTCCTCCTCCTCCTCCTCTTCCGTCCTCCTCGGATCGGCCCGTGCAAGCTCGCGCCGCGTCGGCACGGGGCTCGGAGTCGAATCGGATCGGCCGCGCCCGGCTGCACAGCAGCGCCGTGCGGGCATCGGGCCAAGCAGTGGCCCGTCGGAGCATCGGAGTCGGCATCGGATCGGATCGGTCGGATCGAAATATTGACCCTGTGAGGTGGGCCACTCACTGTTCGGGGCCATGACTCGGGCTCTGGCGTCCGTTAACGCCCTCGGCGAGGAGCAGCTGCTGGGGCTGCATTCAGAGGCTGGAGAACCGCCGAGAACCGACGAAAGCGTTCGAAAACCCGGAACGTCTGTCCTTTGAATGGGCGACCTTGAACGGCTTGTACAGGAAGTCCTCCGCCAGCTTCCTGACCTCCTTCGGCCAGGTGGCGGTGAAGAAAAGGGTCTGCCTCTTCTGCGGGACCTGCACGTGGGGCAGCAGGAGGAAGGCTAGGGAGCGTAGCGGGTTCCTGGGGGTTCGAAGGGGGTTCTAGGGGACCCGTGGCAACAGGAAGGGGAAGAGGAGGATGAGATGAGGGAGGTGGGGAGGAGAATGATCGGGTACATGCTAACAATGAGGAGGAGGAGGAGGAGGCGGAGGAGAAAGAGGAGGAGGTGGCAGCCTCGGGCCCAAAAGCCCGTGGGCAATGTGCCAGCCCCAGGGGGCCAGCCACGAACGTAAACCCCATCGCTCCCACATCCCACTTTACAGTCAATGATTTACATATCTGTACGTATCCCGCATCCGGTTTACACCTATTACAGCTTAATTCCTTTTCCCTGATCCTCACGTTACGCTGCACCACTTAGTACCACCACGTACGGCAGCACACACCACCTCGGCTGCGGCATCTACCTTGTACACCCACACAAATAGTACCACTTACGTGGCCAGTTTGGCCAAGCACCTGACTCACACTGCAGCATCTTGCGACCAGCAGCACCACGATTTCGCCCGACTTCTCTCAACCCTGCCTGGCACCACAGGGGGAGGGAAAAGCGTGCAGCAGCACGCACACTACCACTTGTAGCATCAGCGCGAAAACCTCTCGACCCATCCACACACCAACAGCTCCAAGCAGCTCAGCTACTACTCGACCAACACAGCACACAGCAACCACCGCGACAACGGGCCGACACAATGAACCACTGCACACGAGCCCCCCCGGCCAAAGGCAAAGGCAAAGGCGAGACACCAACAGCGACCAGACTACAGCAACGGCCAAGGTCCATCCCGACAGCCTGCCAGGCACCGCGGACGCACCCGCCCGGCTCGGCACCATCCGACCTGCGCAGCACGGCCACAGTGCCAGGAGCAAAAAGGCGGCACACTGCCAGACAGCGACGGCTACACCATACTGGGCACAGCAGCCTCACACCCCAAAACAGTAAAGGAAGTCCACTCCAAGACCCAAAGCAAAACCACTGCCGACCCCACCAGCAACGCGCACCGACTATGCACCGCAACCAAGCTTCGGAAGCAATCCAGAACACACAACATACACTACAGGAGAGAACCAGGCACTGATCGACAGCATACCAGAAACATACCACAACGACGTCCTGCACAACGATCAACCTGGTACAGCACCCCTTGGAGTGGGAGCATGGAACACGTCAAAACAGCAGTCCTGCGAAAGCTCGCAACCAGCTCGACAAGACACAGACAATGAAGACAGATCACAGCAAACACTACAAACAGCAGAAGAGACCATACGACAGCGAACACTTGTCCAACGACGACCACCAGACAAGAGAGCGCAACCAAACACTACATACGCCAAACAGAACTACGCATGCAAGCTGTCAAAGCAACGGCAACAAGACGAAAAGAAGAAGCACGACGTGAGGCCGAACACGCTGAAAGGCAAAACGAACAACAACAGCAACACCTGGAGAACCTCACAGAACAAACGCTCCATTACCATACGCAACTCAAACATCTACAAGCACAGAACGACCTATGCGCCGTGACACACCGAACGCACCCAGCATCTCACAACGAGGCAGAGGCCATCATCGCAGGGCTACGATAAGAAAGAGAAACACAGTATCCACGACATAACCAACGACCCAGGACAAGCAATAGCTACGCACAAGACATACTGACAACCGAAGAACGAATGCAGGACACAATCCGACGGATCCAGCAGCACTACAGACTACTACAAGAGGAGCAGGCACAGAACAACTGACCCTATGTGCCCATGGCAAACCAGAATATACATACACTCACTTGAGCAAGGACTATCACGCGAAGCCAGACAATCCAGGTGGCGCGCACAGCAACGCCAGAGATGAAAGGAGCAGTACGCAGCTTACGTGACATAACGCGCACAAGCACAGGTGGCGGAGGCAAGAGCCACACTACTCCTCGCCCACAGGGCCGGGGGATGACAATATCTGCCCGAAGCAAAAGGACTCCCGAAAAAGGGACACGCACTCGGGGGGGCTGAATGGCCTCAGCAAAGCAGGGATCCGCCTCGATCTTCCTCGGACCTCCTCGACCCTCCTCAACCCTCATCGTAACCCCTCGATCCCCCTCGACCTTCCGGATCGGTCAAATCAGATATTTGTTGTGGTGCTCCTGTCGCGATCGGCCCGCGGTGGGCCAGGAGCTGACATCAGCACAAACATGTCACGAAAACGAAGACAGCCCACGGCATTGCCGAGAAAGACATCTCTGATCGACACCTGCCTGGCTGCCCCCGTGCAGGACATCTCCCTGCACAGACCTCTGGCCATGCTGCAACCATCTGTGGCCACCCTACTGGGACACTCCGCGCCCCTTCATCTCTCTCTCATTCTCTCTCTCTCTCTCTCGCTCTCTGTGTCTCTCGCTCTCTCTCTCTCTCTCTCTCTCTCTCACTGCTAACTACCCGCTTTGCAACAGGCAACTCAATCGGGAAGATGACCTCCTTCAAGATCTTGCGGATCTGGGGCTCGAACCCCATGTCAAGCATGCGGTCTGCCTCGTCTGCCGAAACCGCCGACGCAGGCCACGGCGGGCGAGAATGGTAAGTAGAACATACGCGGTGAAGGATAAACATTAGACTGACACAGACGAGGAGAAGGAGCAGGAGGAGGATGGTAGGTAAGGATGCCCGCGAAAGAACATATAAAACTGCAAATAGTCGGCGAGGGTACGACACTCGGGTGAGCTCGTAGTCCGAGGAGGGGACGGAGAAGAAACTCATGGTCATGATCACGGTCCGGATCCTGATCACTGTGATTCGCATTACGATGACGCGTGATAGATGCTGGGCGCTGGGTGCTGGTGATGACTCGGCTACACGCAAGAGTGACCCTGGGTAAGAGTGACCTTTGGTGCGCGGCTCTTGGGGGGCCGCGGGGGGGACCACACCTGGGAGCGCAAGCCCCTGCTCCCGCTGCGTTTCCAGCCACCCGGGGGCCCGTCCGTGCCCGCACCCCAAGGGTCACTCCGGCGAAAGGTCACTCTTACGCCTGGTCGAGTGCTGACGATGCCGATGATGCTCACGCTGCTCAGACCCCCTGCTGGGAGCCCACACGCCCGTGGCAGCCCCGATCGGCCCGCCGCCGGCCTCGAGCCCGGGCTCCTGCGGCGGCGAGCCCGGGCGCGCTCGGGCCGCCCGGGCACTGCGCGGCACGCCTCGCCGCCGCTCGGACGCTCTCGCTCCCCGGGCACCGGTCGGCCTCGCGCGCGGAACTTCCGCGCGATGAGCCAGGAGGCTCCTCGATGGCACTCGCCGACAAGAGGCACAATGAGAGGGGGCCCTGGGACACACAAAGAGATAGACACGAGTAGACAGGAGTCCCCATATTTTCCCAGAGTTTCTGGGTGTTCGCCCTCCCCCCCACTTCCCACATTTTCCCATGTCTTCTGGGGAACCGACGATTCATTCTGTCTGTGTGTGTTTTCCCCCCTCCTGCAAGAGGCACGCGCCCGAGGCGCTGCCCGGACGCCGCCCGCAGGCTGCGCCCAGCTCGTGCTGCCGCGCGCCGAGGCGGAACCCGCCGATGCACTCTTGGAGGCCCGGAAAGCGGCACCGACACCGACACGCAGGGGGGGACTGCCTGCACAGGGGAAGTGATCCCAGGTTTCGGTGCCGGTGGTCACATTTCGGCCACACTGGAAGCCAGAACACTGCCGCCCACTTGGCGGCGCGCACGAGGAGGTGGAAGGAGGGGGGAGGGCTTCTCAGAAGGAGGCTGCTTCTGAGAAAGCGCCGGCCTTACACCTATAGATAAGGCCCGTGCCTTCCAAGAAGCAAGGGCGCTTCTAAGAAACCCTCCCCCTTCCCCCCACCCCCCTCTGCGCGCGGCTGACCATCACCGAAATCGGGGTCCTCCTCCCTCGGTGGAGTCACACCGCCGACATCGGCGTGGGTGTCAGCCTCCAGGCCTGCGACACTCGCCAGGGACCGCTGGTGCCGCCGAGCCCTGGGGGCCCGCCCCCACGCCTGGCGGGCGGCCCCGCCCACCCGCCCCTGCGCCTCTGCGCTGCCAGCTGAGCCGGCAGCGCAGAGGCGTTCAGAACTCAGAAAATTTGGAGGCCTAGAATGGGCACCAACACCAACACAGGGGGTTGCCTCCACATGGGGACGATGATCCTAGATTTCGGTATTGGTGGCAATATGAACGCGTTTCTTTATGTTCGGCGATGACGGGCGTCATGGGGGGGGGGAAGGGGGGGGGGGTATGACGTGACGAGCTCTGGCACCACAGCCGCGCCCGCGCGCACGACGCGATGTGTAATTGGCGATCTGCCCATTGCGCCTGTGTACACCACAGCGCTCGCGTGCACCACACCGCGCGTGTGCACCACAACGCCTGCGTGCACCGCAACAGCCGTGTTCAACGCACCACCCGTATACCACAATACTTGGGAGCACTACAGCGCTGGTGTACATACACCGCGGCAGCCATGTGCAACACAACGCCTGTGTACACCACAGTGCTTGCGTGCACCGCAGCGCCTGTGCACGCCACAGCGCCTGTCTACACCACAGCATCCGCGTGCAACGCAGCGCTGGTGTACACCACAGCGCCTGCGTGCACAAGACAAGTAGAAGGAGCATGTACGTCAGGATCTGCTGCGGACAACTAAACGCCACGCCAGGAAAGTTCTGAGAATCGAATGCGACGTTTTCCCTCCTCCCTCCTCCTCCTCCACCTCCTCCTCCTCCTCCTCCTCTTCCTCCTCCTCCTCCTCCTCCTCCTCCTCCTCCTCCTCCTCCTCCTTCTTACCCCCTGTCGTGCGGCTTGGCGTTACAACGCACGTGCGCATCTCAGCGTGCACCGCAGAATGGTCGATTGAATCGGTCCACTTGGTTCTCGGACGGCCAGTTTAGCTGGAGCCTCCCGGACGCAAATGGGAGTTAGGGTGATGCGGGCGGACTCGGGGGGACTCGTAGATTCCAGCGGCGCTCCATTGTCCATGAGGATTTGTTTTCCATTGTTTTCTCTGGAATCCACACGCGCTCCATTTTGTCACAAGGATCCTTTCTGAAATTCTATACACAACAATGGTGCTGTGTTGCACACGGCTGATGTGGTGCACACAGGCGCCGTGGCGTACACAGGCACTGCAATGCACACAGGCATTGTGGTGTACACTGGTGCTGTGTTGCGCACGGCTGATGTGGTGTACGGAGGCGCTGTGGTGTACGCAGGAGCTGCTCTGCACGCAGGCACGGTGGCACAAACTGACGCTGTGTTGCACGCGGCTGCTGTGGTGTACATCGGCGGTGTGGTGTACACAGGCGCTGCGGTGCACGCGGGCACTGTGATGTACACAGGCGTTGTGGTGCATCTCGCCACCTACATGTTCGTGCTACCCGCCCCCCGTCATTCCTAAGCATTCCCAGACGCCGCCGGCGCGAAACGTGACGTCATCGACCCCCTCCCCCCCCAGATGATTGCCGTCATCGGCCTGGACTAAAAAACAGGCTCCAGCCGCGTCCGCGCGCACGACGACGATGAGCGACGAGCGACGAGCGACGAACCACGAGCGACGACGACGGACGACGACGACGACGACGACGACGACGACGACGACGACGACGACGACGCTGCGGACCAGACACCTATGCGGATTCCTACGCGGACACCTACGCGGATCCCAATGCGCACGGCGGCAGTGCCCGGAGCGCACTGGGGGGGGGGGAGCGTTACGTCATAGGGGGGGGGGGAGCGGGGGCTATGACGCCCGTCATGCCCCAATCAATGAAGAAACGGGCTCTATTTCGGTCACTTTGATGCCAGAATATTACCACCATCACCGAGATCGGGATCTTCTTCCCTCGGTAGATGCACACCGCCGATGTTGGTGCTGGTGTCAATCTCTAGGCCTGCGAAAAATGTAGACATATCCTCTCGCCTCTCGAGATGAAGCAGCGCGTTTCGGGATTCTGGATCCTCAAGCGGCAACGCACCGCGCCGCTGGACTCGGCATTCTCTTCCACGGGGATAAAGAGAAAAAGCTCACGTGCCGCCCTTGACAGCTTCAACAGCCGGCTCCGCCACCGGGTGGGCGGCTAAAAAAACGGACCGTACGAGACGGCATGCAGTCGGTCCTTCAAAAACACGAAACCCTCCGCCGGCCAAAACACCCCTGACCGAAAGATCACCGAGGATACCCTCCCCCAAGATGCACCAGAACATCCAACAGACACGAAGAACATTAGGGCACCCTCCCCGAACCGGTCTCGATCTTACACCTCGGCCCGACTGTGGCGACCTTGCGCGGTGACTTACGCGGGCTGCAACATTGCAAATGAGGGCGCTTACGCGCGACCTTATGCGGGCAGCTTGCGCGCCAATCTCGGGGAAGACGAATCTTCGCTGTAGCCAGATTGGCCAACGCTCGCTCCCTGGCCTCATCCTTGGGGGAGGGCAGGGCCCAGGGCCCAGGGCCCAGGTGATGACGAAGCTGGGAACAGACGACGGCTGCAGGATGTTTGGGATAGATATGTCCTAGAGGTAGTGTTAGGGGAACGAAAAGTGGCATAAACATAAAAACTCTCAGGTCCGCGCGGATTTCTCGGAACGGCGCTGGGGCCCCCCGGCGGCGCCTCCGGCGCCGCCCCTGGCGCGCTCCGCGCGCCAGTGAGGGGGGTCCAGCGCCGATCCGAGAAATCCGCGCGGAGCTCCGAGTTTTTATGTTTGTGTGATTTTTGGTTCCCCGAAGTGTGGACCACGGAAGCCTCGCTGCCGCCCCGAACAGGGCGCGAGCAGCGAGGAGGACGAGTACCGAATATGTCGGAGCAGGGCGAGCTGAGACAAGGGCGGCTCGGAATCGATTCCCCGACCCGTCCCGGGGCCCAACCGCACCCGTTCTCCGAGCTGCGTTCGGCCATGGCGACGAGGGGCCACCCCGAAGGCCAACCATCATTGCCTCCACTCGCCCTGCTCCGGGATCCTGCTGAAAGAGAAATGTTTGCACCATTTCGGCTTGAGCTGCGAATCGGATGGCGCTGCTGCTCCCCCGCGCCCCCGATTTCATTACTGATAGCTGTGACGTCTCCCGGGACCGTTCGGAAACAATCAAAAAGGCTTCGGTTCCGGTGCGCGCCCGCACTAACAATGTTGAGGCCGGGGGCGGGGGGGTCGCAGCATCAGCTGTCGTGCCGCCCAGGTGGTGCAAACTTGTTAGACTCAACGGTCACGTCGCCTGTTTCTCCAGCTAAAACGACGCGAAGATCGGGACAAAATCGGATCGGGATAACTCGAAATCTCTGAGAATCGGCGGGTTTGGAGGATGTATTGGGCGCCGCGGCCGCTCCAGAGCGTTCCGGAACGCTCTGAGAGCGCTCCGGAAAGCTCTGGAGCGATTTATCCCGATCCTGGCCCTGTTCCTCCAGCGGCCCCCCTGCCCCGAGCCGTTGCCGGCTTTCGCATCATGGCTCGGCCCTCTCTGGGGGCCTGCGCCGCGCGCGCGCTGGCTGCACCGCAGGCAGGAGTGCCGCGGCGCGGCCGCGTCAGACAGAGCCTCGAAGCGGGTGGGCGAAGGAGACGAAGCCGCAGGATACAGGCGGGTTATTGCGCACAGGACGCGCGACAGGACACAAGACTCTTCCGACGGCAACATGGCCTTCAAAACCACAGGACACAAGGGTACCCTGCCCTTCGGCCGCAGACACGACGCGCGATGCACAGGACACAAGAGCACCCTTGATTTCGCAGGGCCGACCTACTAATGGAACCCGACTGTAAGACGAGATCAACAATCGCACCAGGAGGAAGAGGACAAAGCCTCATCCCACGACGGCCGGCCTCAGACAGGCAAGAGGCGTGACGGAGAGGCAGCAGGAGGAGGAGAAGACGAAGAAGCCCAGCGCCGAGACGCCCACGGCCAGCGGCTCCCCGCGGGGCGGGCCCCGCGCCGCGCGCGCACGCGTGCGGCACCGCAGAGCGCCGCGGCGCGGCCGCGTCAGGGCAGAGCCTCGAGGCGGCCGCCGTCGCCGCGCCGGCGCCGCTCGAGGCCGCAGCCGCGGGGGCCGAGGAGCAGAGGCCCACAGGGCGCACACCGCGGCAGGCCCTGCCCTGCACAAGACTGCGGAGGGGGAGAGGGGGGGGGGGAATACTTTTTTTTTTGGGGGGGGGAGGCCTCCCGGACCGGGTCGGGGCAGATGGGGTCGGAGGACCGCGCCGCATCGCCGAGGCATGAGCGACGCGTCGGCGGTGCGCCGGCGACGTGGGCGATGCATCGGCAGCGTTTGCGACGTCTACGCGAAGCGAACTGGGCTCCGCATCGAGCCGCATCGGCGATGCATCGGCGCTGCGGCGCGATCCTCCGACCCCATCTGCTCGGACCCCCTCTGGGAGGCCGAGGAGAGAAGCAGGGCGGGGCCTCGCCATCGCTCGGACGTCCATTCCCCATGCGTTATTCGGTCTCGTGCGTGCTCCTCTTCGCAGGATGATCCGAGCTGCTCTTCGATGGCCCTCGCCGCGAAGGCAACGCACACGTCCGAGCGACGCCAAGAGGCGGGGCGGGGCGGGAAAGGAGGGCGGGGCGGCTCCTCCTCCTCCTCCTCCTCCTCCTCCTCCTCCTCCTCCTCCTCCTCCTCCTCCTCCTCCACCCCTCGAGCCGCCAGGGGGGGGGGGGAAGCGAGGGCGGGGGAAGGGCGCGAGGCGGTCCTCGCCGCGGCCGCCGTGCCGCCAGCAGTGCAGGCGCGCCGAGCTCGAGAGCTCGGGAGCGCCTCCCCTCTGCCACGGCGGGCCCCGGCCACGAGCGGGCTCCCGCGGCCTGGCTCTCGGGAGCGGCCCAGAAGCCAGGGGGCCTTCCCGAGCCCAAAGCGGTCTCGGATTCGGCGCCTCGCCCGTAGAGTGAGGAAGAGACGCAAAAAGAACAATGATAAGAAGGCGAAGAAGAGGAATCATAATAATCACAGTAATGATAATACTGATACTAATGAGGATACGTATAGTAATGATGATACGAATAATACGAACAATAATAAGCATTGTAATGATACTAATAATGATAATGATGATGCTAATCATTGTAATCGTAATAGTAACCCACATACGAATGATACTGATAACACTCATAATAATAATGATAGTAATAGTGCTAACAATAATAACAATGATACTATGAATACTATTAACAATAATACCAACAATATTTATGATACTAATAATAACGATAACAATAAGAATGACAGTTAGTAAAGCAATAAAAATAATAGACATAAAACCGCGCACTTCTGGGATCGGCGCCGCCCTGGGGGGGCCGGCGCCGATCCGGTACACGCTTGTGGAGCCACTGTCGCATCGCAAATGTTTAAAACGAATGCGCGCGGCGCTAGGGCGAGAACCACAAGGGAAACCACCCGCCCTCCATCCATGAAGCTCTTGCAAACTTTCAAGACGAATGCGCGCGGCGCTAAGCGAATACCACATGTTGAAAACTGGCGGCCCTCCATCCGTGAAGCTCCTGCAAACTTTCAGCGTCAGGATCAGACATGGTGAAGAAGTCGCAGGCGAAACGCTTGGTCCGCCTTGCGGACACGTCTCGGGGTGCGACAAGAAAGAGTTGCTTAGAAAGTAAAGGGATGGAGAGAGAAAGGAGGGAGGAGGACGAGAGGAAGGACGGGAGAGGGAGGAGGAACGAGAAGGGAGGATTGTGGGACAATTCTGAGTTGGCCTCGCGCGCGTCTGCGTAGGACGAGGAGGAGGAGGAGGTGGATGAGGATGAGGAGGATGAGGAGGAGGAACGAGGATGAAAAGGTGAAGGAGGAGGAGGAGGAGGGAGAGGAGGAGAAGGGAGGAGGAGCAGGAAGAGGAGGAGGAGGGAAGAGAAGGAAGAAGGAGGGAGGAGGAGGAGGAGAAGGGAGGGGACGAGGGAGGAGGGGAAGAGGACGGAGGAAGGAGAAAGAGGAATGAAACGGAGGAGGAGGAGGAGGAGGAGGAGGAGGAGAACAAGGATGATGATGCTGATGATGATGCTGATGATGATGATGAGGAGGAGGAGGAGGAGGAGGAGGAGGTTGAGGAGGAGGAGGAAAAGGAGGAGGAGAACGAGGGAAGGGGGAAGGAAAAGCAGGACGAAGAGGAGAAGGAGGAGGAGGAGGAGGAGGAGGAAGAGGAGGACGAGAGAGTAAGACGAGGAACGAGGACGAGGGAGGATGAGGAGGTGGAGGACGACGAGGGAGGACGACGAGGGAAGAGGATGAGGAGGAGGAGGAGGAGTAGGAGGAGGAGGAGGAAGGGAGGAGGACAAGGAATAGAGAGAGAGAGAGACAAGGAAATGGGGAGGCGGAGGAGGATGAGATGAGGAGGAGGGTGAAGGAGTAGAAGGAGGGAGGAGGAGGATGAGGAGAAGGAAAAAGAAGAAGAAGAGGAGGACCAGGGAGTAGGACGAGGGAAGGGGACGAGGGAAGGGGACGAAGGAGGAGAAGGAGGAGGAGGACGACGACGACGACGAGGGAGGAGGACGAGGGAAGAGGAGGAGGAGGAGGAGGAGGAGGAAAATGATGATGATGCTGCTGATGATGCTGATGATGATGAGGCGGAGGAGGAGGTGGACGAGGAGGAAGAGCCCGACAAGGGAGGAGGACGAGGGAAGAGGACGAGGGAGGAGGACGAGGAAGAAGGAAGAGGAGGTGGAGGAGGGGGAGGAGGAGGAGGGAGAGGAGGAGGAGGAGGTTGAGGAGGAGGAGGAGGAGGAGGAGGAGGAGGAGGACGACGACGACGACGACGAGGGAGGAGGACGAGGGAAGAAGAGGAGGAGGAGGAGGAGGAGGAGGAGGAGGAAAATGATGATGATGCTGCTGATGATGCTGATGATGATGAGGCGGAGGAGGAGGTGGACGAGGAGGGAGAGCCCGACAAGGGAGGAGGACGAGGGAAGAGGACGAGGGAGAAGGACGAGGAAGAAGGAAGAGGAGGTGGAGGAGGGGGAGGAGGAGGAGGTTGAGGAGGAGGAGGAGGTTGAGGAGGAGGAGGAGGAGGAGGAGGAGGAGGAGGAGGAGGAGGAGGAGACGGACGACGACGACGACGACGACGACGACGACGACGACGGGCGACGGCGACGAGAGGGAGGAGCACGAGGGAGGAGGAGGGTGGAGGAGGGTGGCGGGCGCGGAGGAGGAGGAGGCGGAGGAGGAGGAGGAGGAGGAGGAGGAGGAGGAGGAGGGAGGGAGGGAGGGAGGAGGGAGGGAGGGAGGGAGGAGGAAAAGGAGGTAGGGAGGAGGACGAGGAGGACGAGGAGGAGGAGGAGGAGCGAGCGGCCTCGGAAGGTGTCAACGAGGAGGAGGAGGAGGAGGAGGAGGAGGAGGAGGAGAAGGAGGAGAAGGAGGGGGGAGCAGGAGGGAGCAGGAGGGAGGACGAGGGAGGAGGATGAGGAAGAGGAGGAGGAGGAGGAGGAGGAGGAGGAGGAGGAGGTTGAGGATGAGGATGATGATGATGATAAGGAGGAGGAGGACCAGTGTAAACCCAAGAGGCATCAACGATGTTGAAATGAGCCATCCCTTCAGCCTCCCTTTTCAGAAGCCCCATGCAACGGTTTGTTTTTACTGAGGGAACTGCCTCGTTGGAAGACTCCTGTTTGAAGACCCTGAGGCATGCGAAAACATTGCTCCCGGGGTTCCAACGCCAAGGATCAACCTGACTGCTGACTCTTGACGATCCTGAATGCCAGAACGCCATTCCTGGGACTTGAACACCGCGAATCACCATAACTTGTGCACCCTCATAAGCCTGAGCCCTTCCAAAACACCACTTCTTGTGCGCTGATCAAGGGACTCCGTGAAGCTCTTGCAAATGTTTAAGACGAGTGCTCGCGGCGCTAAGGCGAGAGCGACATTTTGAAAACCACTCGCCCTCAATCTGTGAAACTCTTGCAAGACGAATGCACGCGGCGCTAAGGCGAGAGCCACATTTTGAAAACCACCCGCCCTCCATCTGCGAAGCTGCTCTCAAAATTCAAGCTTCAGGGCCATCAGGGCGACATTATGTACAAGGAGAAGGAATAGAGGAGGAGGAGGAGGAGGAGGAGGAGGAGGAGGAGGAGGAGGAGGAGGAGGAGGAGGAGGAGGAGGAGGAGGAGGAGGAGGAGGAGGAGGAGGAGCAGGAGGGAGGAGGAGCAGGGAGGAGCAGGAGGAGGAGGAGGAGGAGGAGGAGGAGGAGGAGCAGGGAGGAGGAGGAGGGAGGAGGAGGAGGAGGAGGAGGAGAGGAGGAGGGAGGAGGAGGAGGAGGAGGCGGAGGAGAAGGAGGAGGAGGAGGAGGAGGAGGAGGCATGATCGCCGAGAACCAGGGCGGGGGGTGCGTGGGTGCCCAACGCAGCGCGCCTCGTCCAGCACCAACTTCGCCACCTTGTCCAGCCGCACCTGCCGGCCCTGCGCGGACGGGGGTGGCGGGCGCGGCGGACGAGGGAAGGCCCCCTGATGGCGCTCCGCCGCCAGGCCCCGCCCTCCTCTCCCCTCTCTTCCTGTCTTTGCGGTGGCTGCCTTATTCCTGGTCTGCCTGGACCTCGTGCCCCTACGCGGCCTGGATCTGGGGGGGAGGAGGCAGGAGTTGTTGGGGACGGGCTGAGAGCCAGATGGTCCAGGATCTCAGCCAAAACCAATGGCGCCAGTCTGGCTCGTCGATGCAAGACGACGAAGTTCTGGCTGATTCCTCGCCCCGAGCCTTCACCCATGCGAGGTTCGGCCTCCACGAGGCCAAACGAATCCCAACACTGAGGAGGCAGGAAAGGAAGCGCGGAGCGGAGGGGGCCCTGCATCCGGCTCCGCCTTACTCTTGTGCGGTCTCGCAAGCAAGGCGGGAATTGCCACCCTACTTTTCAGCCTCCGGTGATGTGGATGCCCCCTCAACTTGTCCGTCGCTGTGTCTGACAGAGTTATGCTGACACAGTAGAGGACGCGCTTCGTGGACGCTTGCCCTGGCAAAAACATTTGAACACGTGGACCCCCCCCCTTCGCCTGGTTTCCCTTGGAGGGGGGGCTCGAACGGGGCCCGTCCCACCCCCCTTGCCAGGGGGGGTCGCACCGGGGGAATTGCAGGGGGGTTCAAACCGAGGGGGGGGGACCCATTCCCCCGGTGCTAAAGGGAGGGGGTTCGAACCAGCCCCCACCCCCTCCCCCTAATAGAATCCTACTCAGACTCGATCCGACTCGAATGAAATCATACTATATCTAAATCGAGCTCTGATTGGATCCTACTACAGCTGGATTCAGCTCTGATTGAATCCTGGTAAGGCTTGTTCCAGCTCGGATAACCCTTTTCTACTCTATGCTACTATACCAACAATAGCGGACTCTACTCGACCATCTATCATTTTATGAACTACTCTATTCCATTATACCCTATTATACTCTACCCTACCATACCCTGCCCTAACCTCCTCTACACTACACTATTATACTCCTACTCCTACTCCTACTCCGACTTCTATCCTTATTCCTTATTAGAATATACTCCTACTCCCCCCTCAGGCCGGCCATTAGGGGCCGCATCCGGGGGGTCCCATCCTAACCTGTAAAAAAAACAATACAAAATCAATATTTTTCTTATTTTTTCCTCTCGACATGGACGTCCTGTCGTCCACGGCGATAATCCATTGCAAAAAATACAACAAAGAGCACACGCGCGCGTTCATGTCATAATCCTACCGAACACCGTGTGTTTGCAAGCATTTCAACATAAAAACATCAAAAACCCAATGCTTTTTCACAAAAATTGTACAAATTTCCCGCCCGGGCTCTCTTGCTGTAAATCATAGGAAAACCATAGGAATCTTAAGAATTCGGTCAAATCCAGCGATTTCACGTCATCGCGCGGTGCACTCGCGATGCTCTGTCATGGACCCAGGCCGCGAATCCTGTGCAAAAAATGCCACAAAGAGCACACTCGCGCGTTCATGTCAGAATCCTACCGAACACCGTGTGTTTGCAAGCATTTCAACATAAAAACATCAAAAACCCAATGCTTTTTCACAAAAATGCTTTGGGGTGTCCTGTCAGACCGTCGGGCTTCCTCCGGCCACCTCTGGCTTCCTGCGGTGTACCGGGCCATTCTCGACTCGTCTGGCAATGCGTGCGCGGCATTCAACACGCGCTCGCCAGTTCCCGTCGGCAACCGCCATCGCGGCCGCATCAGCTGTACCAAACCGGCTGGCCGGTGTGACTTCGGCCCCCAGTTGTGCCAGCTTTGCTTCTTTTGTTGTGGGAGGGCGGGTGGGACTGGGCATGCCATGCTTGACTCGCTCGAGCTGGCTAGCTTGACTCCTACTCCTACTCCTACTCCTACTCCTACGTCTACTCCTACTCTACTCTACCCCCACTCTAATATACTCTTCTCTACTCTACGATACCCTTTTCGTTTCTACTCTACTCTACTCTATGTTTGCCGACTTTACTCCAAAACCTACCCTACTCTGCTCTACTCTGTTCTACTCGACCCTACTCAATTCTACCCTACACTGCCCTGCACGAACCTGCTCTTCAACACACTACTCTACTCCACTCTACTCCTAGTTCTACTCTACGTTACTCTCATCGACTGTACTCTATTATAGCCGACTCTATTCTACCATCTATCGTACTCTCATGTGCTCTACTTATTCTACTCTACCCTACCCTATCCAAATTTTTATTTCGAGGCGGCCGTAGCAGGTGAAGACCATCGGCTCGTACTCCGTCGCCGTCGTCGTCGTCGCCGTCGACGTCGTCGTATTCGTCGTCATCGTCGTCGTCGACGTCGCCGTCGTCGCTGTCGTCGTCGCCGTCGTTGTCGTGAGAGTCACCGTCACCGTCATCTTGGTCGTCTTGGTCGTTGTCGTCGTCATATTGGTCGTCGTCTTGGTCGTCGGCATCGTCGTCGGCATTGCCGTCGTCGTCTTGGTCGTCGTATCGTCGTCTTGGTCGTCGTCTTGGTCGTCGTCTTAGCCGCCACCACCCTCCTCCTCCACCCTCCTCCTCCCTCGTCCTCCTCCTTCGTCGTCGTCGCCGTCGCTGTCGTCGTCGTCTTGGTCGTCGTCTTGGTCGTCGTTGTCGTCGGCATTGTCGTCGTCGTCGTCGTCGTCGTCGTCGTCGTCGCCGTCGTCGTCGTCGTCGTCGTCGTCTTGGTCGTCGTCGTCGTCGCTGTCGTCGCTGCCCGATGGCGCTGGCGCTGGCGCTCGCCGTCGTTGGCTGCAGGGGGGGGGGCCCGGTTCGAACCCCGCCCCTCCCTGCAATTCAGGGCCTCCCCTCCCCTTGAGAGAGGGGAGGGGCCAGTTCGAACCCCCTTCCAGCTCCCCACCCTACAAGTGGAAGGGGGGGAGAGCCCCTCCAGTTCCCCCCCCCCCCCTGACGGGGATGGGGGGGGCACGGTTCGAACCCCCCTGCCTTGCAATTCAAAAGGGGGGGCCGGTTCGAACCGCTCTTTCTAACATTCGGGGTGCATTGCCGATACAATCTAAGTCGCGGAGGAGATCAATCAAAATACGGTGGTTCCAGAATCAGGGCGGAGGGAAGGGGGGGAGTACCCATGCGAGCGGAAAGCCGACTCCTGCGAGCTGGCTCAAGGGCGTTGCACGGCGCACCCATAGCTGAAGCCGAAGGCAAAGCGGACGTTCACGGAGAAACGGGGAGGGCCCACGCCGCAGGTTCGGTTGACAGCACATCGTTGGGCGGTGCTGCAGCACCCCCTGAGGGAGGGACGGACAGAAGATAAGAGAGGAAGGGGAGAGGGAGGGAGGGAGAGCGGCGTCTCTGGAATGCGTGCTGCAGGGGGGGGGGGCCCTCGGGGCAGATCCACTCCGTTGCGAGGGGAAGGGCGGGGGGAGGGGAATCAGGAAGAAACGGGGGACGGGGAGGAGGAATGGGAGGATGATTTTCGAGTTCAAGGTCGCGGGTTTCCCAGCGCCCCCCCTCCTAAAGTGATCGTTAGCGGAATAGAAAGAGAGGGAGGACAGGAGGGGGATGGGGGGCAGAGACGAAGGGAAACTGGAGAGTAGATGGCCGGGTGGGAGGGGACAAGGGAGGAGCGACCTCCTCGAACTCCTCCTCCTCCTCCTCCTCCTCCTCCTCCTCCTCCTCCTCCTCCTCCACGCTCCTCGCTCCTTCTTCTCCTCCTCGTCTTCCTTCTCCTCCGCCTCCTCGCTCCTCGCTCCTATTACTCCTGGTCGCTCCTCCTGAGCGGGATCGGAGCGGCAAAGGTGACACTCACTGGACACATCGAAATTGATGATCCTACCTGATCGCAATCCTTATAAGCCGCTAGTTTGAAGAAAAGCAATCGCATTTCAAAGCGGAGCTGTCGCATGAATGTCAGATCCACAGGATGCTCGTTTTTTTCTTAACGGAGCTGTTCCTATATGGTAGATTATAAAGAAAGGCCAGTAGGGACTTATGCAGAAGGACTTGGGACGGGAGGGTGTATTGCAGTATCGTTGCTGCATCCTGGGTTTATGATGGTTCTCCTCCTCCTCCTCCTCCTCCTCCTCCTCCTCCTCATCATCATCATCATCATCATCATCATCAGCATCATCTTCATCTTCATCTTCATCTTCATCTTCATCTTCATCCTCCTCTCCCTCCTCCCCCTCCTCCTCGTCCTCCTTGTCCTCCTCCCCCTCCCCCTCCTCCTCCTCATCATCATAAGCAGCAGCAGCAGCATGATCGTCATGATCATCATGATAATCATGCTCACCATCATGATCATGATCATGATCATGATCATGATCATGATCATGATCATCATCATCATCAACAACGCCATCATCACCATCACCACCAGCATCAACACCAGCATCAATATCAGCATCATCACCACCACCACCACCATCATCATCATCATCATCATCATCATCATCATCATCATCATCATCATCATCATCATCATAATCATCATCATCACCATCACCGTCAACGTCACCATTGTCATCCTCATCACCACCATCAGCATCACCACCATCGCAATTATCATCATCATCACCACCATCATCAGCATCATCATCATCAGCAGCATCAGCATTATCATCATCATCATCAGCAACATCCTTATGATCATTATCATCCTCAACATCATCACCACCACATCCACCACCGGCATCATCATCACCATCAACCTCGCCACCAACATCGTCATCATCATCACCGCTCATCATCATCATCATCATCATCATCATCATCATCAGCATCCTCATCATCAGCATCATCATCATTAGCAACATCATCATCATCATCATCATCATCATCATCATCATCACTGCTCATTATCATTATCATCAACGCTCATCATCATCGCCATCACCATCACCATCAATATCATCTTCATATGCATCAGCATCCGTATCAACATCAACACCAGCATCAGCATCATGATCAACAATATCATCATCACCATCATCGTCAGCGTCACCCTCGCCATCGTCAGAGTCACTAACCCAATCAGCATCACCATCGCTATCATAATCAGCATCGTCCTCACCATCATTACCATGCTCTTCAGCATCATCAAAATCATCATCACCTGCCGCATCATCCTCTTCCTCGTTCACCTGTTTCTCCTCGTCCTCCCCCCCCCCCGTCCACTCATCATCCCCCAGCCTCCACCAACACTTCTTCCTCCTCTGGTCCTTACTTCTTGCTCTGCACCGACACTGAACAACGCCCGAACCGCCCGCCCCATCTCGCCCCCTCAGATCTTCCATGCGCCTCTTTCTCCTCCTCCTCCTCCTCATCTTCCCCTCCTTATACCCGTCATCCAAATCATCCTCCTCCTCATCGTTACATCGTCATCATTATCGTCATTATCGTCATCATCATCATCATCATTATCATCATCATCTCATCATCATCATCATCATCATCATCATCATCATCATCATCATCATCATCATAAGCAGCAGCAGCATCAATATCAGCATCAATATCAGCACGATCATCATCATCATCATCATCATCATCATCATCATCATCATCATCATCATCATCATCAGCATCAATATCAGCATCAATATCAGCATCAATATCAGCATAATCATCATCATCATCATCATCATCATCATCATCATCATCATCATCATCATCATCATCATCATCATCATCATCCTCATCCTCATCCTCATCCTCATCCTCATCCTCCTCCTCCTCCTCCTCTTCCTCCTCCTCCTCCTCCTCCCTGGCCCCGAGCTGCCTCCAGGAAGTCGTTCAGCCTCCCGGGCGTCGCGATGAGGCAGTGCACCCCCGCCCGCCTCGGGGCGCGGAACCCTCCCCGCGGGGGAGCCCCCCGCCACTGCGGGGGCCCTGTGTGTCAGGAGTGAAGAGGGAGGAGCAGGGCTCGACCTCTGTCTTCGTGTTCGTTTTATTTTCGTTGCCCCTCGTTTTGTCGAGTTCGCTTTGCTGCAAAACGGCATCGAAGTGAAGACCGCGAGGACCTCTGAGGAAAGCGGGCCGAATTGGCCAGCAGCCGGCCTTGGGGCCCAGATCATTGCTGATGCCAACGCGGTTCCGCCGAACCCTGCCACAAGGGAAAGGAGGCGGGAGAGGCGGGAGGGAGGGATGGGGGAGTCAGGAACACGGAGGGGGGAGGAGGGATGGAGGAGGGGGGCACGAGGGAAAAAGGGAGGGAGAGAATGATGGAGGGAGGGATGGATGAGGATGAAGACGATGATGACGCTGCTGCTGCTGCTGCTGCTGCTGCTGCTGATGATGATGATGATGATGATGATGATGATGATGATGATGATGATGGTGGTGGTGACCATGAGGAGGAAGAGGAGGAGGAGGAGGAGGAGGGAAAGGAGGAGGAAGATGAGGATGCGGATGATGATTATGATGACGATGATGATTATGATGATGATGATGATGATGATGATGACGATGATGATGATGATGATGATGATGCTGGTGATGAAGGGGAGGATCGATGATGATGGTTTTGATGATGGTGGTGAGGATGATGCTGATGCAAATCCTGCCGATGATGATGATGGTGATGGTAATCATGCTGATGGCAATGGTGAGGAAAATGATGACGATGGTGATGATGATGCTGGTAGTGATGGTGGTGGGGATGGTGATGATGATGATGATGATGATGATGATGATGATGATGATGATGAGCGGTGATGGTGGTAACGACGATGGCGATGCTGGTGATGAAAATGATGTTGATGATTCGGCTGATGATAGTGATGCTGCTGATGGTTATGAAGATGTTGGTGCTGATGCTGTTGATAATGATGATGGCACTGACGATGATGCTGATGATGATGATGATTGCGATGATAATGATTATGATGGTGTTGCTGATGAGTATGGTGATTATGATGACGGTGGTGGTCATGATTATGGTGGTGAGGGTGGTGAACATGATGGTGCGGATGATGGTACGAATGATGATGATGCTAATGATTGTGGTTGTGCTTGTGATGGTGCTGGCGATGATGGCGATGATAATGATGACGATGATGATGGCGATGCTGATGATGAGGATGATGATGATGATGACGGTTGTGGTGCTTATGATGATGACGATGCTGATGAAGGTAATGGTGATAATGATGATGCTAGTGATATGGTGATGATTGTGATGTTGGTTATGCTGGTGGTGCTGCTGCTGACGGGGCAACAGTCCGGCCGCACGCTTAGTTGTCACTGGCGTGCACGGCAACTGCTACAACAACAAGATGCTCAGAAAGGGGTTCGCAGCCGTTCCGTGAACCAGCGTCGCCTTGAGCTTAAGATAGGTGCGAAACGAGAGCACATCGAGGCGCGTGGCGGCACTGCGGGAGGGTGCACACGAGGCACAGTTGCATTCGTAGTCGGCGCCAAGGACGAATTCTCAAACAGGTGATGGGGGCAGGGCAAGGAGCTCGCCGAGGGCAGGGCAGGAGAGGTAGCGCGAGATAACGTCAAACTGCTGGTTGCAACCAAACATGCAAGATGTCACTCCACTGACATGCATGCGATGTGATGTTGCCCACCCTCCTGCGAAGGTCTTGATCAAGCTCCACTGCCGCGCAGGCTTGAACGTGCGGAGCACCGCTAAACAGCCCCCCCACCGCTCACCCACCGCCCCAGTAATCGAAGCCGAGAAGCTCCACGCAGACAAACGCTTAGCGATAGTGATCTCAAAGCCAGGTGGAAAAAGAGAGGCGCGCTACGAGGAAGAAAGAATACGCTGGACCTTCCCCTTGCGGCCTTCACCCGCTGCGCTGGCCCGTTCGTCTTGCGCCGCCGCCAGCGCCGATCGCCAAGGCGCCATAGGGGCGGATGAGAAGGGTGGCTCCTCGGCAAGCCTCGCAAACCGCTGCAAGAAACCGTATTCTATCTTCCAGCATGGTGCACTCCATTGCCCGCGCGTCCAGCGCGCCAGTGGTGCTTGGAGAATCGCCGCTTCAGACCGCTCGCGCAGCTGCGATCCCCAGCCCCGCAGAGCGTGAGAGCCGCATCTCCACAAGCTCGCTGCGCTCATGACTAGCGCGGGCGCGGGTGCCACTAAGCTGCGCGCTTGCAATGAAGACAGATCAGCCGATCGGAACGCGCTGGGCGGCAAACGGAGGACGCTGTGCAGAGCAAACTTCCCGTTGTGCAAGACAACGGTTGGCAATGGAAACAGCTGCGCGAGATGGCTGAGCGTCGAGAGGGCAGTGCTGTTGCACAGAAGCAGGCTGACACTAGAGGGCGCGGCCGCACGTGGAATGTCGCAGGTGCGACTCCACCGCTTACGAACGGCCTCCGTCTGTGGCCGCGGGGCCGAGATGCGCGCCGAGGTACTTCGCCTGGCCAGCAATCTTGACACCGCTCCACTCGGGAATGCGCGTCTCCAGAAATGTGCGAATGCGGCGGTCTACGCCTGGCGCGACCTCCGACCAAAGAGGAACCACTACTGTCTTGCTGGGCTGGAGCCGCAATTTTGCTGGGCTCTCGGCACTTCTGAAGACAGGAAAGACGCGTGTTCAATCAGACAGGCAAGGCTGCACAAGCCCCGCATCATCCGCGCGTCCTCCGACCGCCCCCCGCGGAGACGACGACGACACCTCCGCCGCCAAATGAATTAAAATCGGGCCCATGGCGTTGGCCCGCGCCGAGCCACAGAGGGAGCAAGCAGCCTTGCATCGTGCCTGAACGCAAGTGGAACATCGATTGCATTTCGCCCCGCAGCATAGCAAAGCTGCGGGGCTCAAAGTACAGTGAGGCAAGCAAATTCAAATATACAGGAGGTATGCCAAATCGAGAGAGCACCTCCCGCAGCCAGTCGCGGCCAAGGGATGGAAACGCAGCGGCTAGATCGAACGCAACAAAGACAGGCGCCTGTGCTTCAGCAGTCTCGCTGATGCTAGCCCAGCGAGCAGCTGTATCTAGCTGGAGCAAACTGTGGAGAAAATTCCAGCCCGGCGCAAATCCCTGCTGGACTTGATGGGCGCGCGAACGAACCGGCCCTTTGAGCTTCTGATGGGCCGCCGAAGCCAGGATCTTAGAATCCGTGTTGCGCAATGAATGAAAGAGGGCGAATTTGGTCTGGGCTCCGCAGGCACTCATAGGCATCGCTGGGCTCACTTCCTTCGGGCAAGAAGGCGAAGATGGACTCATCGAGGGCCTCTGGGGCGCGGTGGCCCGCCATGAGGCGCTGCAAGAGGCCGCGCAGGACTTCGATCTGGCCCTCCGAGACCATCCATGCCCCATAGGGGAGCCTATCGGGGCCAGGAGCACTACGACGCACATGTCTGAGAGTGTTCTTAAGGTCCGTGACGCTGGGCATCGCTAGGTCGGCCATCTCGAAGGCCGGGGGGCGACGCTCCAGGCGTTGTCTACTCTCCGGTCGGCTGGCCGGTTGCGCCCGAAAGACCGCAGACCAATGGCGCCGAAGGGCCAAGACACTAGTGGGGTCTTTGGTGATTGCCGACTGGGAGCTATCGAGAGCATGTTCAGGTCGGACCCCTGCTAGCGCAAGACGGCGGCCTCGGTGTCTCCATAGCATGGCACGACGGCGAATAGCCTTGATAGATTTGAAGCGGCGGGCTGCCGCTTGCCGTTCACCTCCTCGTAGGAGCTGCTTGTGCGGCAGATTCGTGGTTGGCCCGAAGCTCAGCAGAGTGCAATGAACGTAATTGACGGCGGAAAGCATCAAGCTCCCGAAGCTGAACTTGTCAATCTTGAAGCTGAAGGTACTTGGCACCCTCCTCTGAACTAGCAATGGCGAGCGCTGCGAGCTCCGTACCCTGCCCCCAGACGGCACGTGATACACTGCGCAGTGTGATGGCGCGCCCCCCTCGGGCGCGCTTGTCACTCGCACGAAAGGGAAGTCGTTGCGATTCATCTCGTGTCTGTTTAGCCGCTCCAATCATCAGATCTCTCAGATGCTGCCATCTGGTAACTGGAGGGAAACGGCCCAGGTCCGCAGCGCCCATCAGCTTGTCCAGGATAACCTTATACCTTAGGTCGATGAACAACACATCTGGAATGGGATGGTCCGCGGCGTCTCCTGGCGCCTTGAACTTCAGGTTGATCAGCCGCACGAGTGGTCGCTGAGCCTCCGCTGGGACATCTCGAGCGGGTCAGAATCCACATTCCGGAGGACATCCGCGTCGAAGAACAAATGTTCTGGGAAAGCGAAAAAAGGCCCTGTCGATGGCGGAGGCGGTGTGTTGGCAACTGAAATGGGTCGGGATGTCGGCCTGCACTTCCTGCGCCAGGTCTAAGAGAGCACGCCGCAATCTCATTCGGCTGGAATGTCCGCGCCGTGGGCAATGGCGATTGCAATGGCGCTGGCTCGTCGTAACTAAAAGGTTCACCGTCGCGAATGTTGAAGCCGCCCACGGCAGTGAACGCGCGACGATGGGGGCCGCCGTGATTCCATTCAACCACGCCCTTCCAAGTGTTGGCAACAAGTTGTTTAAAGCGGGGAGCAACATCATAGTTGCGTACACTCATGACCAACAATAGAGCAGCGGCCATCAGCGGAGTCGATGCGAAGTGTAGCGATCCGCCCAGGGACTAGGGCACGAAATTGTACATGAGGTCGAAGCGCCGGCGGCGCATCACGACCCCACGGCAGGAGGAACGCAACTCCACCCTACCTTGCCTGCGACGCTTGCGAACGCCACGCGCGAGAAGGAATAGGAGAGGACGCAATGAGCACCTCTAGTTGCTGTCGGACACCGTGCGTTTCTTGAAGCATTCTGAGCGAATCCTGGCCAAGATATCTTTCGAATCGAGGTAGTTTCTGTTTTCGTCGTCGGGCATTCTGACAGCAAAGTCCCCCGGCATTCTCAGACACCAGTTGCCGCGAGCTTGAGTCTGCGCTGCTCAGGTTGACGCGCCAAGGGCACCATCGACGGTTGAATAGACCACAAAGATGTGTCGGCGGCGCGAAATATGTGCTGGAATATGTCGTCGACGCTTTGCGTGCCAATCCCGAGGCCTGGCGACGGCGGCGCCGTCCCATCTGAGCTGGGTGGCCGTGGAGGCACTGTCTCCGACCTCCGCGCTAACGATGGGGATGGCGCTGCGCGAGACGATCCCATCGTTGCCCGCCTTCCTGAAGACATGGCCCTCATGCCGCTCTCCGACTATTTGAGCGAGCTTCTTCGGCTGAATTTCACGCCGAAGCGAGTTGGGGCTCTTGTCTGCATTGCTGTAAAGCGGAGTGACGGCGCCGTCGGCGTCGCTGCAGGAAAAGCGCCCCCATTTCCCCCCCTGGCGGAGATTCCTCGCCAGGGAAACGCTGCGAGAGGAAGCCGGTGCGCCGCCCAATGCCCGCAGGTATAATCGTCTGGATGGAACGTCGCCCGCCAGCACCACGTCCGAAATGGCCACTCCAGCCGCGTTGATCCACGGCTCAGGCGCCCTGCGAACTTCGGATGGCTGAACTGCTGTCGCTGCGCCGATGGAATAGAGGCGAGGGCCTGGTGGGCGATCCCAGACCGCGAGCGCTGCCATGTCGATCGGAGGGAGCGTCGCTTCTGCCATAGCCAGACTGGTCTGGATGCGCTCGACGTCGGCGCGAAGCTGCTGCTGCTCTTGCTCGACCACGTGGGCCCTCTGATTGATGTCCCTGGCCGCGTAGTCCAATGCGCCCAGCCGCGTATCCCGCCGGCGAACTTGACCGAGAACTGCATGAAATTCGCGATGAAGAGGGGAGGTGGCTGACCGCAGGATAGGAGGTGGTCTCGGCCTGGAGTCTCGACGTGGCCAGCTGCATCTGTTCGATGAGGATGGTTGTGAGCCTGGTTTCCAGCGCCTGGCCTGTCCCAGCGCCATGTCTGTCCGCCTGCACATTGTTGAATATTTGGTGTGGGTGGCCCATCCACTGGAGTAGCACTCGCATTTGCCCATGGATCTCGGTCACGAAGTGGACCAGCTTGGGGCCGCTCTGCATCTGGAAATGCGGGGAGGTCGTCCACTCCCTCCATGAGTTGAGGTACATATGCTGCTTGTCGATGATGCTGCTGTTGGAGCCGAGACGCGCCTCCCCCCGAGCTGCCTGCTCGTCGAGAACCCTTGCCACGTCCTCCTTGATCACGGCGCCGACCTTCTGATTCCTTCGGCGCACGGCCTTGTAGATCGCGTCGATGCTCTCGGCTGGCTGCAGGTGTGGTGGAGGCCCCTCGATCACTGCGTGATCCACTGTGTGCGCCGTGTCGACGATGATGCGAGCGACGCTGTTTGGGAGCACAGGAGTTGGACGAACTGGAACCTGAGCCGCGATCCGAAGCCATTCGGTAGACAACTGGCGGCGCCGTGAGGATTCGATGAGTCGCGCTGTCTCCGTCCGAAGCGCAGCGCTGGTGATATGGAGAGCTGAAACAGCTAGGATATGGAAGGCGAAACTTCGCAACGGGTGGCAGCTCGCCCCTGGTTGGTGCTGCAAACGCGTGAATGCGAGACTCTGGAGGTATGGATGGGAGCCTACCCCGCTCAGGCAGTTGCTAAATCACCATCTTGGCCTTGAGCCAAAATTGTTACGGAGCTGCTACTGATGATGACGATGAGGAGGAGGAGGCGAGGGTTGAGGAATGAACAATGAGGATGAAGATGATGATGATGAGGAGGAGGAGGAGGAGGCAGAGGAGTTTTTTTCCCTCCCCCTCACGCACGCTGCCTTCTCCACCTGTGCGGGGCCTAGGGCACCTCCCCTGCGCTCCGCGTCAAAGCCGAGCTGAGCCCACGACGGACAAGGACGCCCCGAACACGACCCCCACGACAACCCGGCAAAACGGCCAAGTGGAAGCACACCTCAGTCCGGAGGCCCTCTAGGGGGGCCAATCCCGCTCGAGAGGCCGTAGAGGCCGTCCTCGTAGAGGCCGTCCTCGTAGAGCACCTGGTAGATCATATCCTCCTGCTCCTCCACATACCCGCCGCCACCGTTCTCATAGAGCAGCTGGTCAATGATGTCCTCCTGCTCCTGCTCCTCCTTCTTACCGTCGTTGCCGTCCTCGTAGTGCACCTGGTCAATGATGTCCTCCTGCTCCTGCTCCTCCTTCTTACCGTCGTTGCCGTCCTCGTAGTGCACCTGGTCTATGATAGCGTCCTCCTTCTCGGCCCCGTCCCGCACCTGGTCAAAGAGCACCTGGTCGATGACAAAGGCCACCTGCTCCTCATCCCGCCCGTCGCCGCCCTGCTCGTAGCTCACTGGGTCGATCGCCTCGTTAGTGCCGTCGCCGTCCTCATAGTTCACCTGGTCAATGATGGCCTCCTGCTCCTCCTTCGTCCCGTCGTAGCCGTCCACGATGCGCACCTGATCGATGATGTCCGCCTGCTTCCCCTCTATCACGTCGTCGCCGTCCTCGTAGTGCACCGTGTCAATGATATCATCCTGCTCCTGGATATCCGCCTCCAGAAATGCCTCCACCTCGGGCCAAGGATCATCAGCAGCACTAGAAAGTACTCCAAAACACCACGACACCTCAGGATCCGCATGAACGAGTGGGAGACTTGGAAGGAACTCAGCCGCTCCAGGGTTAAAGGTGGAAGAGCCTACTACTGAGCCACTCCGCCGATGTCGCCACTGCTGGCGACGGGCGGCATTCGCACGACGCAAAATGGTGTACTTGTGCGCAACAACATCACCAGAGAGCATGCCACGAGCCTCCACCCACCGTATTGCTGAACGCAGGGACCGCATGTGAGGCGCTCCATGGAGCATTTCAAGGCCATACTGCAGTAGCAACCCTCGCCTGAGGTCCAACTGCCGTGAGGAAAGAACGTCAGGTGGTACGCCGAGGGGCTGAAGTCCGTGATGACAGTCCCGTAGTCGCAGCACTGCCGCACAAGCATCCTGGAACTCCGAACATGAGCGTGTTGACAACCGAGCCCGACGACCATGGATGCGTAGCGCACCAAGCGCGTAGTTCAGAGTCATGAAGCTCGACACGCCGAGGGAGCTATATACGATAGAACGCAGCCGTGAGGAAGAACACCTCGAGGTAAGATCAGGAAGAAAAACACGTAGCCCAGCCCCGCGAAGTAGAGGACGCCACCGCACCAGGGAGCGCTGACATGGGGGAACCGAGGGGCGCGAGCAGGGGGCGGGCCGCGGGGATGACTTGAGCCAAAATGGCTACGGAACGAGGAGGAGGCAGAGGAGGAGGAGGAGGAGGCAGAGGAGTGAGGGGGGAGGGACGGGGAGGGGATAGGGAATCTGTGACATCGATCTAACGCGCCTGCTCTGCCGTCTGCGGCTTCTGACAATCCCAGAAAAAAGGAAAGGGAGATTAGGGGCTCCCCGCTCCCTGTCGCCTCCTCCTCCTCCTCCTCCTCTTCCTCCTCCTTCTCCTCCTCCTCCTTCTCCACGCTCCTCCTCCTCGGTCCTGCTCCTCGGTTCTCCTCCTCTTCCTCCTCCTCCTCGCTCCTCCTCCTCGCTCCTCCTCCTCGCTCCTCCTCGCTCCTCGCTCCTCGCTCCTCGCTCCTCGCTCCTCCTCCTCCTCCTCCTCCTCCTCCTCCTCCTCCTCCTCCTCCTAGCATAATGGCGCAGAGCCAACTTTACGGCGGGGATCTACCCGAAGGGCGCGAAAAGGAACCCCGCGATTCCCGTCCCCCGACCCCTCGAGGTGACGGACGAGGCCGTGCAACCGCCTGGCCTCATGTCCATATCTTAGCGTCTGTGATAAACTGTCTGGCTTGAACTCTTTGGCTGCACCGCTCGTGGCCGGTCGGACCTCGAGGGCCGCGTCGGCGATGTCGTATCCCCCACGCCTAACTGTGCCGATTGCTTCATATAGCGTCGGTATGGTCCTCGCTTTGGTGATATATTGTGCTGCTACACTTTCCCCACTGCTCATTTGATCCCCGAACCTGAACCCGAACTCGGCGCGTCTTCTCAAGTGCTCGCTCGCTCCTCCTCCTCATGCTCCTCATCTTACGTTACACCAGCGTTGGTCGACGCGATCACCGCGTCTGAAATCTCCTTCTCTCCTCTCCTTTCCTCTCCTCTCTTCTCCTCTCCTCTCCTCCTCTTCTTCCTTCTTCTCCTCCTCCTCCTCCTTCTCCTCCTCCTCCTAATTGCACCCCCCCCAACCAACCCAGCTACTTCCCACGCCGCTATCGCATCGAGGCGCGACCCAGTCACACACGCACACACACGCACACACGCACACACGCACACACGCACACACGCACACACGCACACACGCACACACGCACGCACGCACGCACGCACGCACGCACGCACGCACGCACGCACGCACGCACGCACGCACGCACGCACGCACACGCACACACACACACACACACACACATACACACACACGCACGCACACACACGCACACACGCAAACACGCAAACACGCACACACGCACACATGCACACACGCACACACGCACACACGCACACACACAAAACAAAACAAAACAAAACACAACACAACACAACACAACACAACAACAAAAAAAACGCACACAAACGCACGCACGGACACGCACACTCAAAGCACCTCGAAGACACAACAAGATGCCCCTAGGAGTGCCGTGGCGAGCCGGCCGCGTCGGCCATGGCGACGTCGACGGCACGCCGACGGCGCGGCGCGCCGCGGCCGCGAGGCCGAGGGCGCGGGAGGCCCGCTGAGCTGCCCGCATGGCGCTGAGCTGCTGGTGCTTGGGGGCACCGCCGTACGCGCACACCTGGCAGAGGGGGGGCTGGAGGGGCGCGCGCCATGCGGCGCGCGGCACTGGAGGGAGGGGGGGGGGGGTAGGAGAGGGGGGGGGAGGAGGAGCTGGAGGGGAAGGGGCGGGAGGGGAGGAGGAGGGGGAGGGGGAGGCGGGATGGCAGTGTCAGGGGGGGGGGGAGGAGGGGGAGGGGGGCGGGAAAGGGGAGGGGGAGCAGGGGGAGGGAAGGGAAGGGAGGGAAGACGGGCGGAGGAGCGGGGGGGAAGAGTGCAAGGTGGGAGAGGGGACGAGGGACCGCGGGGGAGCGGGGGCGGAGGGATCGGGAAGAGCGGTACAAGGCTCGGTTCGGCTCGGGCGTGCTCTGAGAGAGCGGCGGGGCCACAGCTCGGCAAGCTCGACCTCGGAGCCGCACCCCTCTTCGAGGTCGGCCGGTCCTCGTCGAAACAAGGGGGCTTGTTGGTCTCGCATTAACTGCAAGGCTACATGATTAGCGCCACGGGGCTGCCTCGATGGAAAGGTCGGACGGCTATGGGTGCAGACCCTTGCAACTCCTGTTGAAACTGAAGTTCCTTTGTGAAATTGCAAGCCTGACTACAAGCGGGGGCTTTGGATGAAAGGAACGAGGAGGAGGAGGAGACGAAGAGGAAGGGATAGGGAGACGGGGGGAGACTTAGGGGCCCTCAAACCTACAAGCACACAGGTAACAGGAGGAACAGCATTCCAGAACGTACAACAGAAAACGCCGGAGCGAGCCCGAAGCCTCCGTCTTGGAGGTTTGGGGGGCTCCGGGGAGCACTGCCACCCATCGCAACACTGCTCGCTGCGGGCTCCGCTCCCTCCTCGTCGTCCTCCTCCTCCTCCTCCTCCTCTTCATCCTCCATCCTTTTTCCTTTTCCTCCTCCTCGTCGTCCTCCTCGTCCTCATCCTCATCCTCCTCCTCCTCCTCTTCATCATCCTCCATCCTTTTTCCTTCTAGAGTACTCCCCCCTGTCGCACCCCGAGGCTGGTCGAGAGGGCGGGCTGGGTGTCTCGCCCGGGACTTCCTCGTCATTTACGCCCCTGATGTGTGAACACTGACAACAGCCTCACGGCTTGAGGGCGGGTCGTTTTCAACAGGTGGCTCTCGCCTGCGCGCGCACACTCATGTTAAAGAACTGCACGAGCTTCACGGATTGAGGGCGGGTCGTTTTCAACAAGTGGCTCTCGCCTGCGCGCGCACACTCATTGTAAAGAACTGCACGAGCTTCACGGATCGAGGGCGGGTTGTTCTAGAAAGGTTGCTCTCGCCTGAGCGCCGCGCACGTTCGTCGTAAACATGTGCCAGAGCTTCACGGATCGAGGGCGGGTCGTTTTCAAAATGTGGCTCTCGCCCCAGCGCCGCGCACACTCGTTTCAAAAATAGGTGCCAAAGTTTCACTGGATGGAGGGCGTGTGGTTTTTCAACATGTGGCTCTCGCCCTAGCGCCGCACACACTCGTTTTAAACATGTGCCAGAATTTCATGGATTGAGGGCGGCTCGTTTTCAAGATGTGGCTCTCGCCTGAGCGCCGCACACATTCGCTTTGAACTTTTGGATGGGTTTCACAGATTTTGGGCGGATCATTTTCAAAATAAGGCTTTCGTCTTCGCGCCGCGTACATTCGTCCTAAAAATGTGCATCACTGATTGAGGGCGGGTCGTTTTCAAAATGTGGTTCTCGCCTTAGCGCCGCGCGCGTTCGCCTTAAACATTTGCAAGAGTTTCACATATTGAAGGCGAGCTGTTTTCAACATGTGGTTCTCGCCTTAGCGCCACGCACATTCGTTCTGCAAAAACTTCACGAATTGAGGGCGGTTCTTTTTCAAAAGGTGGCTCTAGCCTTAGCGCCGCGCAGATGTGCTTCAAACAGTTGCAAGAATTTCGCTGATTCTCATGGCGAGCGTATCAGAAGATATATTTTGGAGCCGTTCAGGATTGTCAGGGCGAAATAGTTATGTTGATTCGCGGTGTTGAAATCCCAGGAATAGTGTCCTGGTATGATTCAGGGTCACCAAAACATAACAGTCAAGTTAACTCGTGGCGTTGAAGTCCTGAGAATGGTGTTATGGCACGCTTCGAGATGATCACACGGTTGTCCCACAACGGGGTAATTCCCTCAGTGGAAATGAATCCGTGTAGGAGCCTGTGAAGAGAGATCTTGGAGGGAGGGTGCATTTCAACATCGTTGATGAATCTTGGGTTTCCACTGGTCCTCCTCCTCCTGCTCCTCCTCATCCTCTTCATCTTCCTCTCCCTGATGTCCGCCACCGTACCGCGAGGCACTGAGTGGAATAGCCTCAGGTCTTCAATGATCCTCAATGAGAAGACATAGATGTATGCACATGTGCCGCCCCTGGACTGGCCCATCTTAGGCCCAAGATCGGTGCATAACTACGCCCTCCTGGCTCCTGGCTCGGCCAGGAAGGAATATGCACCGAGCCTGGGCCCAAGATGGGCCTTGCCAGGATCTGTGTAGCCGTGTTTGATTCTCACCGCCAGATCACTACTGAACTTTCTGAACGCCCTCAGGAGCCCCAGGCCTTCAACTCACGCATCTCCACGGGCGCCGCCAGGCGCTCCCCGGGTCCCAGTGTGGCCTTTCCAGAGGCCCTGGGAGCGTGGCTTGGAGTCCGAACCTCCATCGCGCATATCTCTCATCGCCTGGTCCCCATCCCTCCCGCACCCGACCTGTTCATCTTTGGCACGAGGCAGACGGGTCCCGAGGGCAACGGGTCCTGGACACCGCGGACCTTCCCCCCAGACCGGGCTGTCGTCCTGAGGGTAGTCTGCGGATGATCCTGGGGGGCACGGGGGGAGGGCCCCTGAGTACCCGACAGCGGCGAAAAGCCTGAGGACCCGTTCCCAAATATTTCCCGTAGGCTTCATGGCGATTATTTGCTGCAAGCTACGTGGGCGAATACAGCCATCGTGCCACCAGAAGGAACGCAGAACGAGAAACGAAGGGGCTCTTCTGGCCCCGGCGAGCCTCGGTCACGAACCGTTGCCCCGACCTGAGTCCAACGAGCAGCCCGAAAGCAGGAGCCCCTTCTGATCCCAAAGCGGCCCCTGCTTCAACGCCTTGACTGCAATCGCGGAGGCGCGATTCAAAACATATCTATCTGGCTCTCACCGCGCAGGCCCGGGGCACCCGGACGTTTCCGGTGGGCGCCCGCCAAGGTCACACGCTACCCGGGTTGACCCATGAGAGACCTGGAGGGGGCTTGCTGCAGCATCGGAGGCGCCGTCCTCGTTGACTCTTGTCCTCCTCCTCATCCTCCTCTTCTTCTTCTTTTTCCTCTTCCTTCTCCTCCTCCTCCTCGCCCCCGTCCTCCTCCTCAGCATCAACAACAGCATCAGCATCAGCATCAGCATCAGCATCAGCATCAGCATCAGCATCAGCATCATCATCACCAGCATCATCATCATCACAGGCATCATCATCATGGCAGCAGCAGCATCAGCAGCATCATCATTCTCATCATTATCATCATCGTCGTCGTCAACAGCACCAACGCCAACGCCAACGCAATCACTACGAAACCCAAACAACAAAAACAATTATCCTGGCGAAGGTCCCAACCATGTGCAGTTGTGGGTACCGTAATTGTGAATATCTGCTTCGGTGAAGCTCCCTATGGAGCCACGAAGCGCTGCACTGGGCGGGGGGGAACGCTGTACTGTGTGGGTGGTGTGCCGAATTGGGTTTCCAGGACGCATGCGGACGGTCCCACTGAGGGCTTCGGTGGAGCTCCCTATGGGGCCGCGAAGCGCTCTTCTGAGCGAGTGAAAATGCCAAATTATCCCAGTGCGACCCTACCTAGGTGTTGGAGCCTCTAGGAAAGCAACATTAGTAGGAGCGGTCAACGCCGTCCTACTCCTTCTCCTCATCGTCGTAGTTGTAGCAGTAGTGGTAGTAGTAGTAGTAGTAGTAGTAGTAGTAGTAGTAGTAGTAGTAGTAGTAGTAGTAGTAGTAGTAGTAGTAGTAGTAGTAGTAGTTAGTAGTAGTAGTAGTAGTAGTAGTAGTAGTAGTAGTAGTAGTAGTAGTCGTAGTCGTAGTAGTAGTAGTCGTAGTAGTCGTAGTCGTCGTAGTAGTAGCAGTAGTCGTAGTCGTAGTAGTAGTAGTCGTAGTCGTAGTAGTAGTAGTAGTAGTAGTAGTAGTGTAGTAGTAGTAGTAGTAGTAGTAGTAGTCGTAGTAGTAGTAGTAGTAGTAGTAGTAGTAGTAGTAGTAGTAGTAGTAGTAGTAGTAGTAGTAGTAGTAGTAGTAGTAGTAGTAGTAGTAGTAGTAGTAGTAGTAGTAGTAGTAGTAGTAGTAGTAGTAGTCGTAGTAGTAGTAGTAGTAGTAGTAGTAGTAGTAGTAGTAGTAGTAGTAGTAGTAGTAGTAGTAGTAGTAGTAGTAGTAGTAGTAGTAGTAGTAGTAGTAGTAGTAGTAGTAGTAGTAGTAGTAGTAGTAGTAGTAGTAGTAGTAGTAGTAGTAGTAGTAGTAGTAGTAGTAGTAGTAGTAGTAGTAGTAGTAGTAGTAGTAGTAGTAGTAGTAGTAGTAGTAGTAGTAGTAGTAGTAGTAGTAGTAGTAGTAGTAGTAGTAGTAGTAGTAGTAGTAGTAGTAGTAGTAGTAGTAGTAGTAGTAGTAGTAGTAGTAGTAGTAGTAGTAGTAGTAGTAGTAGTAGTAGTAGTAGTAATAGTAGTAATTCGCCGGCCCAACGGGCCAGGGCGTGCTAAGATCTCCGGTGACAAGTAAACAATATTTCTAGTTCGCGCGCGCAGGGCGGCCCCTGCGGGTCCCCGAGCGAAAAGTACCCGGGCGATCCCCGGCAGATCCCCGGCAGACTAGGGGTCAGAGATGCCGAAATTCTGTTTCGGAGCCCAAGAGGGCTCCAGATCGCCCCAAGAGGGCCCCAAGAGGCCCCAAACATGGTCCAAGAGGGGCCCCAGACGCCCGAAGATCGCTCCACGACGCCCGAGATGGCCTCCAGACGGCCCAAGAGGCTTCCAAGATGGCC